TTAATCAGCTGCTGATTCCTGGCAGCTCTCAGACCCCAACCCTGCTTGTCCCTCCTCTCTCGTTCTACCTCATCCTGTTGCTGCTCTTGACTGGTTCACCTGAAAAGCTTTGTTGGGGACTCAGTGATTTTTCTGGATAGTTTTAATTTCTGACTTTAACTTGAAAGAGAGCTGTGGGTTTGGTTTTTTTTTTTGGTTGATAAATGAAGCAGCTGTAAGAATTTATTAACAGAAATTATAATTTCTGTAGATCTTTACCTAAACCCCAATGATCTCCCTTTGTTTTAGGCATTGGGAGAGTTGCTGCTACATCTTTAGGAAACTTAACAAATCATAGTTCTGAAGATTTACCTCTTCCTCCTGGCTGGTCAGTGGACTGGACTATCCGAGGAAGGAAATATTACATCGATCACAACACCAACACAACCCACTGGAGCCACCCCCTGGAGCGGGAGGGGCTCCCGCCGGGCTGGGAGCGCGTCGAGTCCGCAGAATTCGGGGTTTACTACGTGGATCACATCAACAAAAGGGCTCAGTACAAACACCCCTGTGCTCCCAGGTGAGCCTCAGCCCTTCCCTGCTCCCCTCCTGGCTTTGTATCACAGGCAAAAAAGAAATCTTATTTGCAGCTTTGCTGGTTCTCAAGGTTTTTAGAAGTTCAGGTTAAACAACTGCAGCTGTCAGTAAAACAGCAGAGCTGCTGAGAACAGCATTGAGCTGGAAACTGAAAGGAAACTTGATCTGATGTGCCTGGGGATGCTCTGAACATCTGAAATGTGAATTAAGTCTTGTCTGGAATGAAAATGGGTATTTCAGCTACTCGTAAATTCAAAGTAAAATGAGATTAATACACACCAGATCCAATGTTAATTGTTAATACATACCAAATCTAACAGCTCATTGTCAATATGCACCAAATCTGTTGTTAACATACACCAAATCAACAGCTAATTGTTAATACACACCAAATCCAACTGTTAAGTGTTGATATACACCGAATTAACTGTTAATTGTTAATTTCTGCTGCTCAGTCTGTTCTGCTGATACCCAGGAAGAGCAAGTTCTTCAACTCGTGGCACAAAAGATAAATCTATGGGGATGGGATGTCTTTCTATGGAATAACTGTGCCTGAATCCATCTGTTCTAACACTTTAAATGGTGGATTGTATGAATCAATACTTTTAAAGTGTTTTTAAACCAGCTCCAGGTGCTTTGCTGTGCTCTGGTGGGTGGGGCTGAAGTTTAATTCCACCGAAAGAGCAGCAGCACGTTGCTCAGTGCAGGCCTACCGAGGCAACACCCCACGTGAGGCTGCAGCAGCAGCCTTGGCACTGATGAATGTTCAGAAATGAGTGATTGCAGTGTGTGCAGGAGGTGGCACTTGGAGGTGACACTTGTCCCTGTCCCTGGCAGCGTTCCCCGTTACGATCAGCCGCCCCCCGTGTCCTACCAGCCGCAGCCCCCGGAGAGGAGCCAAGCCCTGCTGGTCCCTGCCAACCCCTACCACAGCGCCGAGATCCCAGACTGGCTGCAGGTCTATGCCAGGGCTCCTGTCAAGTGAGATTCTGCCTTTTCTTTTTCTGCATTTCACACTGAACATGAACAGAAAAAATGGAATTTCCGCAGTAGAGCTTGTGCTGTGTTTGGTTTTTAGATGTATCAGGGCTGAGGTTGACAGCTTGAGGGAGTTGGATCCAATGTTTAGCACGTTAATTTGCTTTCTTTCAGGCATTACTTGAAATGATCACTTCTTGCAGCTCACACAACTGGCAGGAAGCTCTGTCAGAGTGAAGGATGTGTTTTGCTTTCAGAATATTTACAAAAGTGGTACCACGTGCTCAGAAAATATGTGAAACATTTTTAGGGTGGAACTTCCTCACGTTTCTTTTATTTTTTTTAAACAGCACAGCTTTTCCTTCACCTCTAAGAGTTTTTAATCATAGAATCATGAAATGGTTTGGGTTGGAAGGAACTTAAAAATCATCCAGTTCCACCCCAGCCATGGCAGGGACACCTTCCACTGTCCCAGGCTGCTCCAAGCCCCGTCCAGCCTGGCCTTGGGCACTTCCAGGGATCCAGGGGCAGCCACAGCTGCTCTGGGCACCCTGTGCCAGGGCCTGCCCACCCTCCCAGAGAACAATTTCTTCCTAATACCCAACCTAAATCTACCTTTTTCCAGCTTAAAGCCATTCCCTTTGTCTTTCCCTCCATCCCTTGTCCAAAGTCCCTTTCCAGCTCCTCTGGGGCACCTTTGGGCCAAATACTGAATCTTTATTTCTGTTTCTATATTTCTGTTCAGGAAATTGAATTAAAACTTAAGGGGTAATAAAAAGTAATTTTGTCAAAATAAACTGTGAGAGGAAAAGGGAGTCTCCTCCAAAAACAGGTTTGAGTCAGCATAAAGAAATGAGATTTTCTAATGGGTGCAGCTCTGCAGAACAGTAACACTGAATAGAAAGCAATAAAAACCCCAAATATAGTTTAATAATTATTAAATCATGTGCTGTTCATAAGGAGAATATGGAGAAACTCAGTTTTACAGCAGCGAGGTCAGTCTGTAACTGCAAATTCAGGCTGTGGTGTTCAGTGACTTCCACTAAAAAAAAATCACTTTTTTTATTAGCTGTTCCTAGTAACTACAATTTGAATGAGTTTTATTACTTCTTGTGACTGCTGGGGTTGCCAACAGCCCATAAAGATTTAAATTGCCCTAAAATCCCCCAGTGCACTGAGGCTCCACACTTAGTTCCTGTAGCCTGTAGTATTTGTTTCCTTAGAAATACTTCCAGGTTTTGGCTGCAGATCCATTCCTGTATTTAGGTCTTTGGCACATCCAGACAATGTAAATTTTAAATAGTTCAGTTTGTGTTATGTGCATTATTTTGGATGTTTTCTTGAAACTTGAGAAACAAACATAAGACAAATTAAACAATTCATCAGGGATTTCTTTCCATCAAGTAAGCTGGAAGAAAGTTTTAAATTTTTAATTATCAGCACAGCTTTGCACTGAAATAATTTGTTTTATTTTGTCATGATTTGTTACTTACCCCTGGCACTGTAAACTGATTTAGCTGTAAAGCCCAGTTGTTTTTGTTGAGAGAAGTAGATAATTATGGAAAAAAATAAGGAATATTAGATTTTATTTTAACAAATTTCTCTAGAGGATAAGAATTAGGGTTAGAAAAAGCCTGATAGAGAGTCCAGTAGGTGTTAACCAAAATAATCTCTATTGATTGGAAAAAAATTCCTTCCTGTGAGGGTGAGGAGGCTCCTGATGAGTGGGAAAGGAGAAAGAGGGAAAGGTGTCCTTGGGAACTCAACAATCCAGAGGTGCTCCCAAAGGTGGCTGTACCTGGAAACTTCAAACCCTCTTTGTCAACACACAGCTCAAACTCCAAACAGCTGCAGTTTGTAACTTCTCTTTTTGGGGGAAATAAAATGATTTGAGCAGTGCAGCCCTGTCAGGATTAGGGATAATTTTAATACAGAAGATGTTCTTTAGGGAATTTATAGAAGCTGTGATAAATATTAATTAAATTCTTAAAATTCCTCAGAGCATCTTTGGAAGTCACCTGCACATCCTGGTGCTTGTCTGATGCCTCTGGAGTGTGACCTTTCAGTGGGGAATGCAGTTTATTTTCAGAAATTCACTGGTATTTCAGTCTCAGCCTCCACTCAGGTGAATCCAGCTTCTCCTGTGCCTCAGCTGCATCCAATAACTCCCTTATTCCAGGAGTTTCTTCTATTCCCAAGCTAAGGAAATCAGATTGTGTGAGGGAAAAGCAGGAAAGGAGGGTACAGCAGTGAGGGTGGAACCACATCAGGGTTTGCATTAAATATCTATTGCTGCTAATTAATCAAGGGGGGTTAATTGGAGAGGTTAAGCAGCCAAGAGCACTCGTTACAGCTGGCTTGGGAACAGCTGAGTGGGAGGGAAGGCCAGAGTGTCCCAACTTGTGGGAGGGACCTGAGCTGCTCAAATCATTCATTTTTCTGTGTTACTCTGATTTTAACAGATGTTTTACTGTAAATATTCCAGGTGTGGAATTGCTGTTCAGTGCTTCCAAAATGCATTTCCATAGAATTCCAGCGTGGTTTGGTGTGGAAGGGATTTTAAAAACCTCCCATCCCATCCCTGCCATGGCAGGGACACCTCCCACTGTCCCAGGCTGCTCCAGCCCTGTCCAGCCTGGCCTTGGACACTGCCAGGGATCCAGGGGCAGCCACAGCTGCTCTGGGCACCCTTCAGCCCTCACAGGGAACAATTCCTGCCCAGTCTCCCATCCATCCCTGCCCTCTGGCACTGGGAGCCATTCCCTGGCTCCTGTCCCTCCATCCCTTGTCCCCAGTTCCTCTCCAGCTCTCCTGGAGCCCCTTCAGGCTCTGAGCTCTCCCTGGATCATTCCCTTCTCCAGGAGAACATTCCCAGCTGCGTTTTCTGTGCTGGTTTATTCTGGTCACTTAAGGGATCTCCTGTATTCCTGGAGTTCTTTGGTGTTCTAGGAGGGATCATTCCATTTCCCTATGAAAAATTAGTTTCTCCAGCTCATTCCCAAACATAACTCCTTACTTTGGGAGGATCAGTCCCATCCACCGGGCTCATTGATCCAAACCAGCCTGGAGAAGAAACCCTGTGTCTCCCTGCAGGTACGACCACATCCTGAAGTGGGAGCTGTTCCAGCTGGCCGACCTGGACACGTACCAGGGGATGCTGAAGCTGCTGTTCATGAAGGAGCTGGAGAGGATCGTGAAGCTGTACGAGGCCTACAGGCAGGCGCTGCTGACGGAGCTGGAGCAGCGGCAGCAGCGGCAGCAGTGGTACGCGCAGCAGCACGGCACCAACTACTGACCCTCCTCCTCCTCCTCCTCCTCCTCACACCCACACACAAACTCTGAAAGGAAAAGTGCTTTTGTTGAAAAGGCAGCTTATTTTTGTTGACGTTGCACCTTTGTTATTATCCTCTTGAATATTTTTCTACATGTATTATGTGTTGTTTATAAAAAAAAAAAGTGGAGATTGATTGTTAATCTTTTTTTTTTTTTTTTTTTCCTGTGCCGGGGGTAGTTTGTTATCCTGAGAAACCAGCAGTTCCATCGGTCCCCTGATCCTGGATCTCTTTCCTGCCAGTCAGCTGCAGTATTAAAAGCTGGCTGTGTATGTATTTTAAGGTCAATAGATGCAACTGTCACGTCCTGGCTTCCAAATGTTGTCCAAATCCAGATGCCTCCTGCAGGGTGTTTCTTTCCCTCGGGATTTGGGATCCCTCTCCTGAGAGAGCTCTGCTCTTGGTTTACAGCTTTAATGTACAGAACACCCCCAGGCCTGTCGAGTCACACCAGGAGCTGATTTCACCCTTTGGATCCGAGTTGCCTTATTTTTTACTTTAGCTCGTTTGTACTCCAGATTTACTCCTTGTTTTCACACAGATTACTCCAAGGGGGAACGTTTGTACCTTCCTAAAGACCAAGATCTCTAAGCAGAGTTGTTTTGATCCTGCATTTCCCAAAACCTGACCCGCTCCAGTGGAAAGACAGCAGCACTGTCTGACCCACTGTGCCACCCCACGGGGAAAATCAGGGATGTAACAGCAATTACTGGGGGTTTTTTTAATGAGCTTTTTGTCTTAAAGCTCCTCACTTGGGGAAAATTTTTAATTGTCCAGTTACCCTCTCCAGTAATTTCATTTGGTTCATTAATTGTCCTGATGTGTTATTTATGGGTTCTTTTCAGTGCAATAAACACTGCACACAAAAAAGTACATTTCTTGTAAATCCTATTAATTCAATAAAAATCATTTTGTTTGACGAGCAGAGGGTTTGTGTGACTGATTTGTGGCCTTTTAGAACATCAAATAAACCGTTTTTACCAGCAGTAAGAGCCCCACGGGCTTGAGGTGATGGAAGCTCTCGATGGCACCGAGCTCTGGTTCTGTCAGTGAGTGAATGACCCTCAAAACACCAACCCTGAAATCCCAAATCAAACCCATCAAAAACCCCAGAGGAGAAGCTCTTACCTAGATAATAAATAACTTTTCCCTGTGGAAGCAACTTCTTAGGAACCAAAAGCAAACTTTAATAATCCTGACAATAAAAGAATAGAAGTGTACCACACATCCTATGCACTATCATGGATAAATATGTACAGAAATACAGTGAAACTTCCTCCAGCACAGCTACAAAGTGACACTTTGTGCAGACAAACAGAAACGGCCGCGTTCCTCACAGCACCCTTAACAGACCATAGCAGAAGTGCCCTTACAGTGTCTGATAAAGCAAGTTAATACATTTTAATTATGTTCATGGAATTAAACAGTTAAACGAAGGAAAAAAACAAAACGTGGTTACATGTTATAACTTCTTCAAGTACCTGAAATAAATTGACTTTTGGATAAGCTTCGGCCTTTTTAGTCGCGGTATCACGTAAATTATCGTTTTCTCGGTGGTGACTAATGAAGAAAGGGGAAATAAGGCTTCATAAACGAGCTGGGAGTCGCCGGCTGTGCCAAACCAAAGCTCTGGGCTGCGGCAGTGCCGTATGTACACGGGGCCGGGACCGCGGCGCTGCTCCCGGCGGGCTCGGGGACGGACGGGGCGAGGCTGCCGCTCCCGGGGGAGCCGGGACTGCGGGATCCGCGCTTCCTAAACCTTCTTCCTGTCGGAGCCCTCGGCGGGCTCGGCTCGCGGTGCGGGGAAGGCGTGGTGGTACAGGTGTCTGTGGGTGGCGGCCGCGCTGTACAGCTTGTACAAAGCCTGTGGGGAGACACACGGTCACTGCCCGGCTCCTCCTGAACCCCAAACCCAGGGAACCCCAAATCCAGGGAACCCCAAACCCAGGGAACCCCGGTCCCAGGGAATCCCAAACTCAGGGAATCTTGGTCCCAGAGAATCCCAAACTCAGGGAATCTTGGTCCCAGGGAATCCCAAACCCAGGGAACCCCAAACCCAGGAAATCCCAAACCCAGGAAATCCCAAACTCGGGGATTATCAATCCCAGAGAATCCCAAACTCGGAAAATCTCAGTCCCAGGGAATCCCGAACTCAGGGAATCTTGGTCCCAGAGAATCCCAAACCCAGGGAATCTCAGTACCAGAGAATTCCAAACCCAGGGATGGCCAGGCTGGGATTGTTGGGGGGGTCTGTGCAGGGCCTGGAGCTGCCCTGGATGATCCCTGTGGGCATTTCCAGCTCAGGGCATTCTGTGACTCTACAATTCCAATTTTTCAAGCACCTCATCCCCTCTGAGCTCTATTAAATCATTATTTGGACGATGGCGAGGCATTTGGGGGTTGTTTTTCCCTGTGTTTGATTCCAGAGTTTTAATTCCTTCTGCCTCAGCTTTAACCCCCCAGGCAGCTCCGTAATTGCACCAGGCTGAGGGCTGGGGGTGGGACTGGTCATTGTCCCCATCATTTCTCTGCAGATGATGCGGATTTTTTCTGATTTTACCATTTTCTGTTTGTCCTGGAGCCAGGCTGGGCTCAGAACAGGGCTGGGACCAGGCTCTGATCCCAGGTGAGCAACACAACACCTCTCCCATCCTTCCCTGCCTCCTCCCCACCTTCATCCCACAGCAAACGGGGCACAGGAGGTGCCAGGACACGGCTCTGGCTGCAGAGGACTTGGTGTCTCTCTCACAGTTCTGACATTTGAAATCAACTTGATGAGAGAGGAAAAAACCAACCCAAATCCCACCAGTTCCTGCTGGGGACCGCTGGCAAGGCAGGATTAGCTCTGGAAAGGGTGGGAAGAGGCACCTGGCCAGCAGGAACCCACACATCGACAGGGTGACGAGCTCCTGGTGTGCTCAGGGGGTGAATGAAGCAGGAGAGGCTGAAGGGGCAGTGAGGAGGAGGAGGGTGAGGGATGAGATGCCTCCAGAGGTGTCCAACAGGATGCTGATCACATTCCAAACGAGCTTTTGGGAGCAAAAGTGTTGTTTTGGGATTGTTTGGGAACACCAAAATTCACCTTCCAGCCCCACCTAGGCGACCTTGCAGCATTTTGTGCTGTTTTAGGGGGTTTTGTGATGCCAAACCAGTCCCACAGCACCGATTTTTACCTGACAGGCTTTGTTCAACACCTCATCCACAGCAAATCCTGTGTTCTGCCTCTTGGTATCCCTGAGGTACCAAAGGGCTGCCCTGGCTGCTGGGCAGGGAGAGGAGAGGGATGAGGGATGAGGGATGAGGGATGGTTTTTAACAGCTTGGAATTTCTTCTGAAGGAACTCCCCACAGAACTCAGAGCTGGCACTGCCAGCTGGAGCTGGTGGGCTTTGGTGACACAGGAAAACATGGAAATGTTTGGGCCAGGCTTGGACACAAAGCTGGAATAAATAATGTCCATGTGCAGGAAATTTGTCCTTTTTTTGGTTTAGTCAGATCCTGGTGAGGCTTTGCCCAAGGAACATTCCAGGAGCTCCCACTGGGATCCTGCAGTGCTGGGCAGGAGGAGCACAGGGAGCACACAAAGAGCTGCTCTGGCTGTGATCCTAAATCAGAATCCCAGAATGGATTGGGTTGGAAGGGACCCCTAAAGATCATCTAGTTCCAATCCCCCTGGAGTAAGCAGGGGAGATTCCACTGTCCCAGAGTGCTCCAAGCCCTGTCCAGCCTGGCCTTGGACACTTCCAGGGATCCAGGGGCAGCCACAGCTGCTCTGGGCACCCTGTGCCAGAGGCTCCCCACCCTCCCAGCCAGGAATTCCCAATTCCCAATCTCCCATCCATCCCTGCCCTCTGGCACTGGGAGCCATTCCCTGGGTCCTGTCCCTCCATCCCTTGTCCCCTCTCCAGCTCTCCTGGAGCCCCTTCAGGCCCTGCAAGGGGCTCTGAGGTTTCCCTGGATCCTTCCCTTCTCCATGTAATAAATAAATGAACATTCCCAGCTCTCCCAGGCTGGCTCCAGAGCAGAGGAGCTCCAGCCCTCGGAACAGCTCTGTGGCCTCCTCTGGATTTGTTCCAGCAGCTCCACATGCTCCTGATGCTGGACTCCAGGGCTGGAGGCAGCTCTGCAGGTGGGATCTCACCTGGCTGGGGCAGAGGGGCAGAATCTCCCTCTCTCATCCAGGTTTTCCTGCTCCTGGAAGGTCAGTACAGGGTGCATTTTTCCCTCAGAGCAGCTCCCCTGCCAAGCTGGGAGAGCAGGATTGTGTTCCATGTGCTGCCCAGGGAGATGCTGGGGGGTGAACTCTGCCTCCTGGGCTCTGCATTCAGCTTAATCCCATATGGGGTGGTTTTCCCCCAAAAAACCACGTTCAGCAATTCCAGCAGCACGGAGAGGCCTGGCCAGGCATGGAGACTCCTCAGCTGTCCCTGAACAGCTCCAAAACAATCTGGGCTTTGGGTTTGACCTCCTGGCACAACAGGAGAATCCCCAAACAGAACTGATGGGAGTAAGATGAAAATTCCCATTGTATCCTGACATTCCCCACCCAAATCTCTCTCCCACTTGGCTCCCAGCAGTGCCCACATCCACACCCTTCTCCAGGCATCTGGATCCCAGGGAACAGCCAGAGCCAGCCAGGCCAGGAGCTGCTGCCCAGAGCCCTCGTGACTCCCATCCTCCACCAGCCCAAAGGTGCTTTTGGGGCCAAAAAGCTTTCCCAGGAGCCCAGGGCCCCGCTGGCCCCGGCAGCATGCGGAGAACAAGAGGCACTTACCTCATTCGTGCTTCCCTGGGAGAGGCATTGGGAAAGGGGAGACAGAAAGAGAAAGAAACAGCTCTGTGTATCTCAGTGTCCATGGGAGCTCATCCCTGGGGTGTTCCCAGCAGGGCTCATCCCAAACTGGTCCCCTCTTGGAGCCCCTCCCTGCTCTGTCCATCCCTCCTGCACCAGGTCCCAGTCCCATGGGACAGAGCCGCTGGCAGAGTCACCCAGCCCAGCCCCTCCCCTCTGCCACAAATCCTTCCTGGGAGAACTTTCCCTCTGCTTGGAAAGCCACGGGGGCCTGGGGAAGCCAGGAACAGCTCCAAGCACTTTACCCTCTTTATTTTGCCCCAGCTGGAGATGTTGCAAGTGGGCAGCACCTCTGGCTTCCTGCTGCCCGTGTCCTGCCCTTGCTGAACTCCCGCTGCTTCCTGCACTGGGATGGGTTTAAATATCCCAGCACATCCCAAAGGCTCCTGGGGAGTGTCCCTGGGCAAACTGAGCCACTGCAGTGGCTTTACTGGGGATGTTCAGGTGCTGGGGACAGGGCAGCCAGGCTGAATCCCCC